TCTCCTGCAGAGCTGATTTCTCAAGAGCCCAGAAACAGCTGGCAGGGGACTGCTTACTCCCCCTGGCAGAGTCCTGGAGACACCCCACAGATTCTTGGACGCCACCCCAAGTCAGCCCACCCCACCCCAGAATTTACCTGGTCGTTGCTTGTCTACCCTGGGGCTTGGGGGCAAAATCATAAATTTGGGAGACAAGAGGTGAGATAAAGATCATTTGTTGAAAATGGTGTCATCAATCATCTGCTGGAAAGAACACACCCAAGAATTCCCCAAACCTTGGTGCGCACTACCATCCCGCCAAGCTCCCGGGGACTCTCTCCCCTCCCTGGGGTCCCTCTGCCCCCATCCCTGGGCCTTCCTGGTCAGCTCCTCCCAGCACGAGGTGGCCTAATCAGTCTGTGTCAGCCCTTCTCATCTGCAGCCCCAGAAAACCCTCAGGCCCCTCTTCGCTACCTTGGGAGGCTCGGGTTGGAGAAGTCCGGTCCCCCCCACTTCCCCACGTTAATGATCATATTTCTGAAGAAGCCTGGAGGGGAGATACCCAAACTCCTAGTTGCAGAGCTGCAGGATGAACAGATAAATAATGGCTTGCCGAATTAATTAATTATTTTATTAGCCTGAGTAATTATTAATCAGGTCATTAATCATCCAGCTGTGCACTATGAATAATAATCGAGTGGTGTTGGGGAGCAGGTTATGAGGTCTGTGAGGTCCGGACCTCCTCCTGGGCCAGGGGAGGTTTGGGGAGGGTCCCTCTCGCCCTTGCGCCCACACTTCAAGCTGGGAGATGAGGAAGAGCTTGGGGGCCCCTGCGTCCTTTTGTGAGGGCGGTCCCCAACTTCGTGCTCCTCCTGACTTCCAGAGTTCTGATGGGTGCAGGTGTGCAGGAAGGGGTGGGCACACAGGGGTGAACAGAAAACGGAGAGAACGTGCGTGCATGCGTGTGTGTGGGTGTGTAGGGTGAGGACAGGGGACCGAGAGGATAGGGGGAGTCAGCGATTTCTGGCGCTGGCTAACCCCATCCCCAACCCCAGCCTGCCGGTCATTGGCTGTGGACTCAGAATCTTGCCTTTGACCCTGACACTTCAGGATGGGGGATGACAAAGCAGAGGCAGGGGAAACAGAGGCAGCAGAGGCCCGGGGCGGGGAAGGGCCAGGTGAGACAGCCTGGAGGAGGAGGAGGAGGAAGGGGCCTGGCTGTTCACCTGGCGCCCAGATTCCTGTTTGCCGTGCAGGCCTGGCTGCCTGTGGGCTCGCTCGGGGCCCTGCTCCACGCGAGCTGCCCCACCGGGACCTTCTGTCTCCTGGATCTTTCCACTTGGCTTTTCCTGGGACTCTGTCCACTGCCCATGGGGTTGGAGGTTGGGAGGATTAAAAACGCAGGTGCAGGCCCTCCCTGGTGGCGCAGCGGGTTAAAGCGCAGCACTGAGAAGCTAAAGCCACTTCCGCATGAGTTCGATCCCCGCCTGCCCCGGAGGTGACCACATGGCGCGGCAGACCTCTCCTGACCGCCCGCTGCTCCCCTCAGCAGTGGACTTCGTCAGTCGGCCTGTCCTGCTCCCACTGTGTGTCTGGTGAGTCCTCTCACCACCCCCCCCCGGGCACCTCTGGCCTGTACCCCAGCTCTGTATGCACAAATAAATAAATCTAAAATAAATAAATAAATAAATCAGGGGCAGCGGTGGGAGCGCGAGCCCCCAGCCCCGGCACCAGGAGGCCACCCTGAGTCCCCGGCGTGCCTCCTGCTGTTTGGCACCCCATCAGCTCATGTGTGACGGCCGGGGCAGTGCGCTCCCGCCCGCGCCAGGCCTGGTCCTCCCAGGAAGGTGCTCCCAGGGCCCCTCTCTTCCCGGAGGACTTGGGGAGGAGTCAGCGATCCTGTTTTGAACCAGCCCCAGCCCTCTGTTATTGTCCATTTTACGTTCTGTTTATGGTTTAGGGTGGATTTCTCTCTCTATTTACAGCAAGCCTGCTTTGTTTATGACCTGCTTGGGGTCGGTTTCATTTTTGATTCCCCAGTTCTTCTTTCATGCGCTAAATGTTTATTCCTTCTCCGGGTGTCCCTTTGCCGCCCGCCCCCCTCAAAAGCCCATCTGAAAGGGTGCGGGGGGGCGGGGAGGGCAGGGGAGGGAAGGCCCCCCCATCTGGGGCTCAGGCTGCTGTGAGAACAGGGACACCCACAGCCTCAGGCCAGGCCCCTGGAGGACCTGTCCACTTGCATCCGCACCCCTGTTCAGTGTATCCTCTCGGCAGAGCTGAGGGGCAGGCGGGGTCAGGCGCTGGAGCAGCTTCTGACAAGACAGAGCCTGTTGTGGCATAAACACAAACACAGGGCCTGGAACCCAGACTCTTGTTTGGAATTCCTGCTGCTGGGCGTGGGGGTGGTGTGGACGGGGCTTTGGTGGGAAGGGGACTGGAGGCAGAGCGCAGGTCGACTGCGGGGCTGGGGCCACAGAAACAGGGGGGCAAAGCCTGGCAGCCCTTGGCATCGCTCAAGGACTCGTGGCAGGTGGCTTTGATAAAAGGGCTACACCCCAACCCCCCTGAGAAGACCTGCTTCTTACCGAGTCACCTAGGGCTGCCTCGGGGTGCGCTTGGGTGGAGGAGAGGCCGGGGGGCCAGGGACTCCCAGGACCCGGGGGGTGCAGCCGGCCCAACCTCAATCCAGGGCATCTCAAGTTCTTCCCGATGCCGCCCGCCTGGGAGCCGCGAGGGACAGGGCAGAGCAGGGGGGCGCCGAGGCAGCGGCTTCCTGGGGTTCCTCGCTCTCCCCGATTCTCCCTGGGAGTTGTGCATCTCCAGCAAGGTCCTCAGTGCTATCTGAACACACTCCCAGGACCCAGCTTCAGCTGGAGACTTCAGCTGGCCTGAACACACGGGGTAGCCCCTTCTCATCCCCAGCGTGTGGGGGGCACCGTCTCCTGCCCTGGTTGGGGGGCGCCAATTTCCGAGTGTCCCTGGGAGCACCACAGACGTTCCTTCTCCCTGTGTTCTCCCCGGTTTCCTCAGACGGGGCGTGGCTGGGAAGAGGAGTCTTGTATTTTCTCTGGCTCCCTTTCCCTGAACTTGCCTCTTCCTGCCTCACTGGGAAGCCCATCTCTGGCAATCTCCGAGTCCCTTCAGGGTCATTTGCCCAGCCTTCTTAGAACACAGGTGTCCCAGTCCCCCAGCCAGACGCCAACACCTCTCTATTGCCCCTACAAATTCCCTCCTCCTATTCACGCCTCTTTACAAAGCCTCGAGTTTTCAGGCGAGAGGGCAGAGAAGGGTGCAGTTCATATCACGGCCAGCAGAGGGCAACACACACAGGTCAAGGCAGAAGGGTTCTTGGCGGTGAGGCTCTTGGGGCCTCGTGGGTGTCCCTGCTGCCCCGGTGAGAGGCGGGATGGAGGAAGCTGGCCGCTTAGGGACAGGCTTGGGGGAAGGATTAGTGGGAAATTTCTAGAACCACTCAATGGTTCTTTGTCTTATTAACAAACTGCAAATAGCTAATAAGGCCAGCTATAACGTGGGGCTGGCCCTTTAGAGATAATGTCAAATTCTTGAAATAACCATGATGTACTGTTGTTTTCATTTTACAGTAGGGGAGACAGAAACTGGGGAAGGTTCAGTCATGTGAAAGCATGTGCCCAAGGTCACCCAGCAAGGAACTGACAGAGGCCTGGACTCAGTGGTCCTTGTGAGATGGCCCCTGCCTGGGGGTCTGCCCCCTCCCCCCAGACGCTCAGTAAGGAGTCTGGAGGGGCCTTGCGGAGCCCACCCAGCCCCCTCCTTCCGGTGCCCAGCAGGGTTCAAAGGAGGCTTGGGAGGCTGGGGGCACCCCTGCCCCCACAAGCCTCCCTCAGCCTGGCCAGATGCCTTTGGGGCCTGGAGACAAGGGCTGGAGAATGTGGCTGCCATAAACAGTGTCCGGCTGCACTGTGAGGCTGTAAAACCTGCCTGGCAGAGGCTGGAATGTGGAGGGATCCAGGAAGGATTTTCCGGCCGGGTCTGGCCTGATAGCATCTTTGGGGCCCTGGGGTCAAAGGGGAGCCCACCTCCCCCGCCCTCTCCCGGCCATCCTGCTGCTCCCTCCTTTCCCCTCCCCTCCCCTTCTCCGCTTCCAAGTTTCCGCAGGGAGCCTCTGTGTGGGCACTCTCCTTGGCCCCCCACTCAGCCCCTTCTTGCCTGACCCATGGCTCCTGGGTGGCCCCCTGGCTGGGTAACTCGGAGACTTCTTGGCCCTCACCCCTGGGCAGTAGAATGGCCAGTAGTGATAGTGCCTTTCCCAGACAGTAAATTGAGAGATATTTGCAAAGCACTCAGGACAATGCCTGGCTTATCCGAAAGGCTATCCGATTGTTAATATCATAAAAGCAATGCATCCACTGACTTCCCTTTCTCTCGCCTGCAGAAGGACCCACATCAAGCGATGGGCGCTCTTCTCACTGCTTCTCACCACCTCTACCTGGGTCGTGGTGGGGGAGCGGGCGGGCAGGCAGGCTCCGAGGCGGGGCTTCTGCTCCGCGGCCGCCGCCTCCCGCCGCCCCCGCCCGCGGCTCTGCGGCCACTCACCATTCCTCCCGCTGCCAGCAGGGGGCAGCAGACGCCTAGCCTGCGCGGCGCAGGGGCGTGCCCAGCTCACCTGGCGGGCAGGCTGAGGGCCCGGCCCGCGAGGGCACCGGGAGAAGAAAAGCGGCTCCCTTCTGCCCCCGTGCCTCTGCGTGCGAAGCTGAGTCGGGGAGGGGTCATCTTGCCCGTGGTTACCCAAGTTGTGACATGCACCGGGCAGGAAGGCCTTAGACCTTCCGGAACCCCAATCGGCGAATCACGGCCGGAGGGGCTGTTCCATGACCCGACCCCTCTGCACACGAGGCGCTGAGCCCAGGGGGCTCGCTCAGGCCTGCACAGCGACTCCCTGGCACGGTTCAGCCTGCTCGCAGCGCTGGCTGGTGACCGCGGGCACCCTGTTCCCCTCCCAGCGGGGCCTCGGGCTTCGAACACGCACCTCCTCGGGCGCGATGACCGGTGACCGCAGCTGCCCCCAGGGTCCTCTCCCCGCTCTCCCACCTGCTCTACCCCAGCCGCTTCCTGCTGGCCTAGCTGGACGAAGGGATTTGCTTCCTTCTCAGAGTCTGGGTCCCGGAGACGCGCGCTCCCTGGATAACTGCACCGTAGAACACCCGCGGTGGCTCTGCCTGGCTCGCCTGCGGCAGCAACTTCATCCTTCCGCGGCCTTCCAGGGGAGGACCAGCAAGCGTCCCTGCTGGGGAACAGCGCACGGCTGGCCCGGGGCCACCTCCAAGGACCCCGCCGCGCCCACAGAGTTCTCCGTGGCGGAACCCGCCGGCCAGGCCACCCTGGCTGTGACGGGCAGGTGCGTCCCCTGAGCCCTGGCTCCGAGCTGGGCAGAGGCGCTGGCCGGCTTCACCACCGCTTAGAGGCCGGGGAGGGAGGCCCACTCGGGTGCAGAGGACCGGGGCCCTGGCTCAGGTCCACGCAACTCCAGGTGAACCCCGCGCCCTGGTACCTGCTGGAGCAGTGCTCTCCCCGGCGCTCTGTGGAGAGCTTGTTCAAGTCAGCCTCTGGCCCAGCAGGTCGGGGGCCCGGCCGGAGGGCACACTTCTGTAAGCTCCCTAGCAGCAGCGATGGTGCTGGGGTGCGGCCCTCCGGAGGCACCAAGCATCAGGTCGAGGGGTCCCCCTGTCCTGGCACAGTGGGCTCTCTGGGCCTCAGGCCCCTCTGCAGCAGGAGATGCTCCCAGGCAACCTGGCCCTCAGTTCAGTCTCTTTGCGTTTCTTTTCTTTCTTTCTTTTTTAAGATTTATTTATGCACACAAGAACTGGGGTACAGGGCTAATGTGTGGGTAGGAGAATTCACTAGAGACAGAGTGGGGAGCAGAACAGGTGAATGCACTGAAACGCACTGCTGAGGGGAGGCAGGAGGGTCTGCTGCGCCCTGGGGGTCCCTCCCTGGCCGAGGATCGAACTCGTGCTGCAGGGGCTGCGGACAGCTCCACAGTGCTGAGACTGAACCCCTGCACCATTGTGCGGAGGGCTCTAGGACACACTGCTAGGCCACGGGAGGGCAGAGCCTCCCCGAGAGGCTGCAGGGTAGTCCTCATCGCGAACAATAGTGTCAAAGGGGAAACTGAGGCAGCAGCTTGCCCTCCTCTCACTCCTGCCTCTCCTGGCCTCTAGCCTCTGCCCCCATGCCCTGACACGTCACCCCATCTCTGTCCCTCCTCCGCTGGCTCCGCGCACGGCCCCACCCTGTGAGCGCCCAGCCCAGGGCTGGCTCTGAGTGGCCACTGGCCAGTTTGCACGGGCAGCTCCTGGCGCGTGTGAGTGTGTGGGTGTCTGCGAGCCCTTCCTCCAGCTCCCTCCATCTTCCTGTGATGTGCGCTCCAGCAGGGAGCCCCTGGGGCTGGCAGAGGGGGAACCCGCTTGTCTGGGGGAACCCAGAGTAGACAGTGGGTCCCCTGGGGCTGCTGGCTCCCAGAACCTCACCCCTGCATCCACACCCTCACCTGGCCTTGGGGTGGGGGTGGGGCCACGGAGCAGGCACTGCACTTTCCTCCTCCTGCCACCCACACTGCCTGGCCTCTTGGGGGGTCTGTGGACCCTGTGTTAGCCCGAGGACCAGAAGCTGCTCACAGAGGAAGGCCTGCACCGCTGGGCCCCGCTGCTCTCCAGACCCCGCCGAGGGGCCAGGGGCCGAGGAGGGACCCGAGGGAGGGCAGGGCCAAGCTGCTCCCTTGGCCTTCACCCCCCGCTGGGGGCCAAGGGAGGCCCTGTCCCCCTGGGAGGGGCCTGACAGCGGCCATTGCGCCCCTCTCTAGTGCCATAGTGCCAGCGCCTGTCTCTCAGGTCCTGTGACCAAAGACGCCAGAGATCGGGGCCAGGCCGCAGCAGGAGGCGCTTCCCTGGGGCCGGGCTGGGGGGCGCAGGGCAGGGAGAAGCCCTGGCTGCTGGGGCATGTGGCACGGCCCCCGGGCAGGCTGCATTGCTCTCCCGCCTCGTCGCCCCTGAAAAATGGCAGCCGGAGGAGCTGAGCAGCAGCCTTGGGCTGATTCGGAGCACCCCGGGGCGGGTGAAGTCCAGCCCTGGGAGCTAGGCCCGTGGGGTCGGGCCTCTCCTTGTGCCCCAAGCCTGGTCTGGTTCTGGGGGCCACCAGGGGAGGGGAGGGCCTGGGGATCCGCCTGCCCCGGCCCAGACCCACCTGCCCTCCTGCGCCGCTGTGGGGAGCAAGCTGCTGCTGGGGCTGCCCACAGAGCCAGGCCCGGGGCGACACGCACTGAGACCCAGGCCGAGGGGCCGGTCTGGGGGGCGGGGGGACAGCAGAGCCCAGTGTGGCTCCCACTGCTGGCCGCCCCGGCCTGTGGCTTTTCCTCCGCTTTCTCCGTGTTGTTTTGCTCCTTTTCACGTGAAGACACCTGCCCTCACCCCGCTCCCCTCTGGTCCCCGTCTTAGCTCAGAGAACTCTCCTCTCCCTCCAAGGGCGCCCATTCCCTGCTCCTTCCTGGAGGGTGGGGGGGCACCACCAGCCCCCCTTCTGCAGCCCTGTCCTGCCTGCCCCCCAGCCCCCCATCCGCGCCCAGTTTTCTCCTTCCTTCCTCATCAGGTTTCAGGCCCTGGCTCCGAAGACATGGGAACAGCAAGAGTGACCTCAGGGAGAGCCACTGGCCGCCAGGAAAGGAGGGCAGATGCCCAAGAACTTCCAGGGAGCCTGCAGAGCGTCCTGAAGGAGGGCGGGTCCGGGAAGGGGGACCCCGGAGGTCCCCCCTTGCGCTCGCCCCTCTCCTTACACTGGCCCCCATGAGCGTGACTCATGGGCACTGGCAGGGGCTGGTTTCAGTGCACCCCTGAGGTCCTCGAATGCAGCAGGAGCCGCGGGGTGCCCTGTCCCCTGCCTGCTCGCTGTCCCCGCTCGGGTGCCTGTGCTCTGACCGTCCACCCGGCCCGTCCCTCACCTTCTCAGGCTGGGGTGGCCGAGAGTCCCGGGGACCCCCTCTCTGTGTGTGGCTGTGTCTTCGCAGGGGTCCCGTGGGGCTGCGTGGGGGAGGGTCTGTGTGGGGGCTGGGTGTCCCAGTGTGGGCACCACCTGTTTCTGGGGGCCGCTGGCAGGTGTGATGGGCTGGGGGGGCAGATTGGGCCTCTCTCCTGGGGGTGTGCCTCCCTCCCTCTCCCCCCCACGTTGTCCCCCACCCGCACCCCTGTAGGGGAGGCGGAGCTGCCTGTCGTGCCGGGCCAGGCCACAAGGGGGCTCCGGGACCCGGTTTCCCTGCCCTCTGCAGAGAGGGCCGGGGGAAGCAGCCCACAGCTTCTGGAAGGCGGGGTCCCGCGGGGGGCGGGGGTCTTGCCATCCGCCCCCAGTCCGAGGTCTCTCCTGTGTCAGCCAGCAAGTCCTTACCCCTGTCTAACGGCCGTCTCTGCCGCTACTGGGGGAGAAAGGAAGCCGGGTGGCGTTCAGGGTTTGACGCCAGGTCCGGCCCCTGCCCCAGCGCTGTGGTCTGGCCGCTCCCACAGCGGGCCGAGCCGCTGGCACCCGCGGGAGGCCGGACTCGCGAGTGGCCTGCCCAGCCGGCCCAGGCTGCAGTTCTGGGGGCGGGGGCGAGTAGAGCCCCTGCCTGGACTTCCACGGCTAGGGGCTGCGGACGGCTGGGGACCCTCCCTGGCCACTGTCCATCTCCAAGCCTCAGAGGCTCAGATGCTGCCGCTATCTTGGCTCTGGATACTGGGGTTACCCTTCAGAGGGAAACCCCAGAACCACTCGCCCCCCCTGGAGATCCCAGCAGAGGGAAGGGTGGATGGCAGAGCAGTTTCTCTGCGCCACTTGACTACGTTTTCGGGTTCTTCTGTTGAGCATCACTAACTGGCCAGGCGAGGCTGCGTCCACACAGGACGCAGCGTCCACCCTCTGTGCCCTCAGAGGGTGTGCAGGCCCCCCTGCCTCTGCCCCTGGACCTTCGGGGGCGTGCAGCTTGCAGGTGCTCTTCTGGCCGTCAGCCCGGGGTCCCTGGGCGCCACCTCACCGAGGCAGGCCGGAGCCCGGGGCTTGCTGAGGAGGCCTCGGGCGCCCCGCACAGCCAGAGCCTCCACGCTCTGCTCCCCTCACTGGCTCTCGGAGAAGGGGAGGGGTGCCCCCTCCACAGCAGGTAGTGGGGTCAGGAATGATGGGGAGGCCTTGTTTGAGGCTCAGAAGTCTGGGGTCCCCCTTTCGCTTCCCCCCACTCCCCTCGAGACCCCTCTCTGACTCCTCTCCCTCCTGCCACTCACCCCATCTGCTTTCCTCCTGTTTCTTCTTCTTCCTCCCGGTCGCTCTGTTCCTTTTGTTCTGGCACTCCCCTGCCTTCGCTCACTCGGCATGAAATTAGGTGAAAGAGACTTTAAACACCAAGACGTGCGTGTGGCCAAACCCCGAGCTCTGCCCTCTTCTGCCTTGCCCCACTTTCCTGGTCTCTGTGACAGGTCGGTACTTCTGATCCATGGGCCTGAGGTGAGGAGGGAAAGGGGCCTAGGACTCCGGTTCCATTGAACAGTATGTGCCCTGGGGACAGGGGACATGGGGCCGCCCGCGCACCCTTGAAGGACTCAGGGCTGGGGAGAGAGGCCAGGGGCGTCACGGGGGAAATCAGGGAAAGCTTCCTGGAGGAGGTGAGCGCTGAGGTGGGTTTCCCGGATGAGCTGGAGTTTCCTGGTTCATGGCGGGGGGCCGGTCCTGGCGGAGGGGCCGCCCCGGCGGGCGAAGAGAGCTTGTTAAGAAAGGGCAGGGGCGTTCAGGGAACTGCCGGGGTTCTGTATGCCTGGGGCCGCGGACCTTTCGCAGTTAAGACAGTTTCTAATGATGAGCTCACAGGCCAGACAGGAAGGGCCCGGAGCAGGGGTTGCTCTGTGCCAAGTGAATGACGAGGACAAGGCCGAAGAGGGGCCCCGGGGAAGAGGGTGCCGGGACCTCGCTTCTTTCCCATTTACTTAGCTGAGACCCGGTCTCAGCTGCCTCGTCTCTGAAATGGGGTCAGGGACGCATTACTACCTGCAGGCAGGTGAGTCAGGCAGTGTGGTCCCTCGAGGCGCCCTGCAGCATTGAGAACTGGGGGTTTACCATGATCACACTGGGCTGAGTGACTTGGGAGCTGGAGGGGGGCGCTTAGTAGGGCTGCAAGTGGTGGCTGTGCTGAGCTGGAGGGGGTGAGGGAGGCTGGGAGAAAGGCGGGGCGGAGGTCAGAGGCAGGACGGTGGAGGTCACACGGGGACGGTCACGTGTGGCCTGGGCCTCGGGCCGCTGTGGGCACAGCAGCGCTGGCGCAGGGGTGAGGCTCACGTTGGCAGGAGGTGCGTGACGAAGTCCCAGGCTGCCAGCAACCTGCCTGGTGGG